TACTCGAACCGTCCTGACCGCGTAGCTCAGTTGGCAGAGCATTGGGCTAGTATTCCAAAGGTCGTAGGTTCGATTCCCACCGTGGCCGGGTATATTTTTCAAGCTCGCCCGGTGTGGATATACACTCAGAGTAACATCACAAACATCATTTTCACCTGAGTACACAACACCAACACAGAGAAAAAAAAAATATTGATTTTTAATCGACGTTTCGATCCTGAGGATCCTGAGGATGACTGAAAACTAGTCGAAACGTCGATTAAAAATCAAACTGTTATTCGGAGTTACTGTTATTTTGTATTTTTGTACGTAAAAGTTACAGAAAACTGGGATAAGCCTTTCACGCTGGAGGCATGAGCAGCTGATAGTAGCACGTTGAGCAGCTTATAGTAGAGACCTTACGATTTTAGGACGGCAACGCGACGGCAACGGCTACCAATACAATAGATCATTGAAAAGAATTGAGTAATTACAATATATGAATAATTTAGATTTTGTCCTCGCTCTGTTTACAACGCCAAATCACAGATTTTCACGTCTTGATACAACGGCTGCATTCCAAGCCACAACAAGTGCAACTTCAAACTGGGTTCAGCAGAACTCTTCCCAACTATAAAACCCATGTATTCAACTTCTGAGACTATTAAATTCATAAACGAACTATCTTTACTATCATTCATAGTATTTGAAGGAGTTTGTTTTGGCCTTCGCCGTCCTAAAATCGTAAGGTCTCTAGTAATTTACGATGCGAACCTCTTGCTATGACGAAGAGCAACAACCTTGAACTGTTAGCTATTCAGATAAACACAAACAGCTGTGGAAAAGTTTCTGTCCCTACACAGTCTACTAGTCTATCGACCTCAAACAATACAAGTGCTAATTGCTACATGCAACTCGATCTATGACAACAAATTGATTCTGTTTGGAGACTTGTCAACCATAATTTGACCTAGCTTCCGGCATGTTGTAAAACATGGATTGGACCCTGGACTGGACTGGACTTGTAAAACAAGGACTTGTAAAACATGGACTTGTAAAACATGGACTTGTAAAACATGGACTTGTAAAACATGGACTTGTAAAACATGGACTTGTAAAACATGGACTTGTAAAACATGAACTTGTAAAACATGGACTTGTAAAACATGGACTTGATCTTCGAGCGAATTTATTATCGATGATATGTTTCTCTATATGTACACCTATATAGAGAAACAGGGAAAAATACACGAATTATCATTGCGTATATTGACTTTGCAAGAAATTACTAATGCCTTCGCCACGTAGCACGTGACCCGTCATATACGTCATATACGGGTCACGTGACCCGTCATATTTTGGCGGATTTGCTCAATTGTTTTGGAGAAAGTATAGTAAGTAAATATTGTAGTAAACATTAATATTGTTAAAATAGCATTACAAAACAAAACAACTCCGTTACTATCCTTTCCCTAAAAGCAATTGAGCAAATCCGCCAAAATATGACGGGTCACGTGACCAGCCGATACCAGGGTCTCAATTCAAGCGAGGTAGGAGCGAAGATTGAGAACCTGGGTACGAGGTTGATGGTATGGTAGAGTTAATAATGCCTATCACTAAGACAAGTTACTCATTTCCTAAAAATGTATCTATATATGGTGTCCAACCTCAGCCGAGAACCCGCACATAGTGATGGTATATCCAAAAAGCGGCAAGGTGACGTGTGACAAGCGTGTGTGGATTGGTCAACATATAGTTTGTGTTCGCATACCTTGGCCGTATCTGAAAATTTAGAGCGCCTGAAAGAATTTCTAGCATGGTTCAAAAAGCAGAAACGCGTCCCGAACTTGCTGATGTCTATTAGTATTACCAACATCAATATGCCGCAGAATAAAGGTCGTAAGTCTGGAACACGAAAGAGAAAAGGAGCCGCCAATACAACACCAACCGAAGGAATGGCTGTTGTTGCAAGTGATGTCGTGTTGTTCAATCACAGCCACATCAACAACCTCGAGCCACGAATAATGCGTGCTTCCAGACTGGTGTAATATCGACAAGCGCTGGCTTTCATCGTGAAGTAACATTGGCAAGTCGTACCTTTCGGCCTTCAATGGACAATGGCGCCGTTAGTTAAGCTTTTCCTTTCAGCTTACAATGGCGTCACCGTCAAGCGTTTTCTTTCAGCCTATACAATAGCGTCATCGCGTCAAGTGTTCCATTTTAGCCTACAATGGCATCATCGTCAAACTCAAGCGTTCCATTTCAACCTACGATTTCTTCTTCAAGAACACTACGATTTAATATTTGTTAAATTGGGACTTAATTTTCAGCAAAATAACCGAGTAAAGATGGAAAATACGTTTCAAGCCCGTAGCTGGCTCTCAATTTCTGGGGGGGGGCACTGCAGGAAGAATG